CGAAAACCCTGGCTCCACAACTTGCAAACCGATCATTTGATGTTTCGTCAGCGGTCTTTTCACGAGGCCTCCTCGCGCGCGCAAAATTTGATAGCAATTAACCCAGGTGTATGTTTTGTATTGACCCCACATCAATATCCAGCTCTTCCCGCAAAATACCATGTTAACAAAGGTATAAAAACTCTCATTACCGAAAGAAACTAGAACACAGACATCGAATAAAGGCACCGTGGTTACGAAACAAAGTTCGGCGACGAGCAGATTGTGGGAGCTCCTCCGCGATTCCAAATTTTTGTTATTATCTACCTTTACATCACTGTGACCATTCACTTTTATCAGCACCTCCACCTTTAACATCAACACTACTATTTCTTTCGTTTCACTTTCCCATCTACTCCACCCCAAAAAATAGCCCAAAGTAATTTGAGAATTTCGGACATCTCGATCTTGCGTTTATAGACCTTTATTGAAAGAGTTGCGAATGACAAATAGAAAGCTCTCTGTGCCTTCAAATGCTCTTGGGCAAATTTAAGCAGAGGTGGGAGAGGGAGGAGGAGGTCTGAATTTGGTAGAGGTCGCTTTGTGCATGCGCAGCCTTGCATCAAAGTTTGGTTTTGGGGACGGTTTATTTTCCGAACTTTTTCCTTTCTTACTTGGTGGTGTGAACGCTTTTTATTCTCAGAGGCAATCAAACTGGAAGTTTGTTTTTGATGCGAATCAAATTTGACCGCTGTGTTTATCAAGATTTTGCATTTTCTTTTTCCATTTTTTATTTCTATGGCAAATTAAAGTTTCTGTACCGTACGCGACTTTCAGCTCTGGTAGGAGCGTAATAATAGAGAAGACCCATGACCTATCGCCCAGGAAGAACCCGCAATTGAACTAGAACTATATCTGTAATGTAAAAAAAAGGAGAATTCTGAGACGTTTTAGGACTGTGAGCGCCTATTTTACCATTCTCCTCGCAGCGCGCGAGATTGCACGTCAACCGAGAGTTTTAGGAATAGACCGGGACGAAGTAGTTTCCAGGCACCGGCAGATCAGCCCCGCTTTGCGCATTTCTCGCCACACGACTGATAATGGA